AGATGATAGATGGGAAGGCATGCCTTCTGCCCAATGAAAATGCTTTTCAGTAAAGCATCTGCTTGTAATTTGTATGTGAAAATCAGCCTAGATCAGTTGGTAAATTTGTGGTGGATTTTCTTAACCATACATTCATGTTTAGATGATCCAAAGAACTATAATTAAGTAACCATATGACAAACCATCAAGATACTGACTTAACCAGAACCTGGAACCATCTCTCAGTTCAGATGAGCCACAGAGCCCAACTATAATATGGTTTACCATGTTATCCAATTGCATCCTCTGTGCTTTGAATCTTATATGACGTATACTATACAGATGGTACCTGAGAATTAAAAATGGCTTGTCATAGGCTTTCGAGCCCAAATTCCTAACTAAGGCAGTGCTAAGTCAGTCACTTTCCATCTTGCAATTCATGTATTTAGACTAACAACTTTGTCTCATTTTTTTTCTACTCATTTCCAGATGAGGATGTTTGTGTCAATTGTTCAGAAGATCAATATCCAAATCTAGATCAAGACCAATGCATTCCCAAGGTTATAAGCTACCTCTCATATGATGAACCCCTGGGGATCATTTTAGCTTCATCAGCTACTGTCTTTGCTCTGATCACAGCATTTGTGTTTGGAATCTTTGTAAAGCACCAGGACACTCCCATCATCAAAGCTAACAACAGAAGCCTCACCTACATCCTTCTCATCTCCCTCCTACTTTGCTTTCTCTGCCCCTTGCTGTTTATTGGTAAGCCAAAGGTGATGACCTGCCTTGCCCGGCAGACAGCATTTGGCATTATCTTCTCCATTGCTCTCTCATCTCTTTTGGCTAAAACAGTCACTGTGGTTATGGCATTCACAGTTATTAAACCAGGATCCTGGATGATAAAGTGGATGGGGAAAAGACTAGCAATCTTCATTGTCCTTTTCTTCTCTCTTATTCAAGCAGGACTTTGCACAGTTTGGCTAAGTATTTCCCCTCCATTCCCACATATGGATATGCATTCACTGAAAGGGATAATCATAATGGCTTGTGATGAACAAACTACTTTTTTGTTTGGCTGTGTGCTGGGTTATTTAGGTGCTTTGGCCATTATTGGTTTCACTGCTGCTTTTTTTGCTAGGAAGTTACCTGCCAGTTTTAATGAATCCAAACTCATTGCTTTCAGCATGTTGGTCTTTTGCAGTGTTCGGCTGTCGTTTGTGCCAACCTACTTGAGCACAAGAGGAAAATACATGGTAGCTGTGGAGATCTTCTCCATCTTATCCTCCAGTGCTGGCTTACTGGGCAGCATCTGTTTCCCTAAGTGCTATATTCTTGTACTAAGACCCCAGCTTAATAACAGGGAAAGGATAGTAAAGAAAAAGTAATAAAATATGAGTACCTATTTTTTTTCCTTCTGTGTAATCATGTCATAGCCAGTTTGAGTTCTAGTCCCACCTTAGGCACAAAGCCAGCTGGGTGACCTTGGGCCAGTCACTTTCTCTCAGCCCCAGGAAAGAGGCAATGGCAAACCACTTCTGAAACACTTTGCCAAGACAACCGCAGAGACTTGTCCAGGCAGTCTCTGAGAATCAGACACAATTGAAGAGGGGGAAAAATGTCATAGGCCACATCCACATCTGAATCTGGTGTTATTTTTAGAACTATGATAGTTTCTTTGTATACAGACAACCAGCACTATCTAACAATCTCTGAATGCGAAAGTGTGATTTTGTTTCCTACTGTGCAAATGTTATCCATTGTCCATAAAGCCTAGTCTTTATTTGTGATGCCCTTCTCCTTCTTCCCCTCAAAATCCCTTCCCTTTCATAAAGTAGAGTACCTATAGCTCTTAAACACTGCTGAACTACAACTTCCAGAAGGCCCAACATATTAAAGGCACATGCTATGCTGTGCTTTGCATGTTTGCTCAGATTCCAAAGTGCTGGAAAACAAAAACAATTTCCTTACAAATGCTAGGAAATTGTACCTACATCCTTAACAGATGTCTTATTTGTGTAATATGGATTTGACATTTTATTCTAGGCCAGAAGTGGACAACTTTTTTATCATATACAGATTTTAACAAAATGTCTCCAAGAGCCTTTGGCAACGTGATAGATGTCATTATGATACCACCTAAGTGCCTGGGCCCAAAACCTAGCCATTTGGGCTTTTGGCCCTTCCATGGAAAAATTAACCTGACTTCAGGGAATTAGGGGACTTTTGTGAAAAAATCATTTTAAACTTCAAGGCTTAAATGTTCCATTTTGCCACCAGCTAAAAATGTTGGCCTCATCTACTCCAGTGTTGCTTTGGGGAATGCAAAATAGATATAACCCATGAGTGAGGTTTGGTCGCTCCTGTGGTTAGTTCCAATTTCATCATCATCATAGAATGAACAGCAGTCAGTCAAAGAGTGGGGGAGACATGCAACTAATGTTCCATGTTATATATACCTAACTGGCAACTATTATTGAGAATTTCTTAACATTCAGCAACAACACTGCCCAAAAAGTAATGGTAGCGAGAGGCTTTACTTCTTTCTCATATCGCTGCATAAAGACCTTGTGTTTATTTGTTAAATTGTGCTTTTGTTCCAGTTTTTTAAAAAATTTTCCTTTGCACGCTTTGCTCAATATTCTCCAAACAGTAAATAAATCCTCAAATGTGTTAATCCAA